TGACTCTGGGTATCTTTTGTTTCTATCTGATTGGCTGATACTTGGTTTCCTATTTGTCTCTGATCTATACACAGTTGTTGACTAGAGTTTTGTAACCTATCGCTTTTTGTATCTTTTTCTACTGGCATTTGACTTGTCTCTAATGACTCCTCAGATTGGGTTGTTGTAGATTCCTTTGTATAGGTTGTTTCTGATGTAACAACTTCTTTCACGTTGGTGGAGTCTGACGGAATGCTGTTTACCACATTTTTTAACACTGGAAAAATATGTCCTTGCTATTCCCCTGGACTTGCACTGTGCCAGTTGTAATAAAGAAGGTAGTTCGAAATAATTTTTCTTCTGAATCCTTGTACTGAACATCAATACAAATAGCGTTACCTGTGCTCTCTTTTTCCCAGTGGCTTGGAGTTTCATTCCAAGTAACTTTAAACTGTGGTTCTTTGCCAATACTATCGAAGAATACGTAATGTAGGGCCTGGATATAGGGTACAACCTTTTCTCTTGGGACGCGGAAGGCCGCCATCCTGGCGTCACTTTCGTACAAGTGAGGATTTATTTCCTCGAATGAAGCTTTTTTGATTTTATTTCCCGTTGGATTCCGAAGACGGTCTGGTATAAAGGCTTCATAGTCTTTGATATCTATGTTTGAAGTTTCAAGTCTGTTTATGTTTTTCAAGGATTCAAACATTTTGTTCGACTCTATTTTGAGCAGAGGCAATTCGAAATAGCACGTGTCTGGTTATCACATTTACCGAGATTGTAGGCGCTAAGTTTTTGTTAACACATTCTTTTAAATAACGTAAACTTGCTTTTATGGAGATCACAAGATAAATGTCAATGAAATTAAGGGGTAATTACCATTAAACGATTAATCAATATTTCCTTGTTTTTTAGGCACATTTTAAAAACTTGTAAAATCCTGGGGGGGGGGGGGGGTCCTGCCTCTGTCTTCTTGAAAAGGTCAAGAAAAGTCCAATGTTTGAATCCTCGACATCAGAATATAGGCTTTGATCTGTGATTGTGGATATTGCAAATCATAGGCTTTTAACTGAAGAAAATGCAGCTAAAACAATCCGTCTTTTCCTCAAACTTCAATTTGCCAAGAAAGGAATTAACGTGGTTAATAAAAATAATGTTCTTAATCACAAAATGGTCCAGTCCTGTATTCCACCTTATTTCAAGTTAAAAACTACATCTTTTTTTCTTATAATACACATCGACTATTGCTTTCAAACTTTTCAATTACAAAAAATCTTTTCATGGCCTTGATATTGAGTATCTGAAACATAATTCTCCATCGTGTTCTTCTTAACCCTATAACAATTGTCCTTCTGCATGCGTTATTACAGGTGATGTAAATTATTAAAGTTGATAATTAGGACCCCTTAGATCACTTATTTTAAAATGTTTGAAATATAGGGAATCCCGATCCTTCAACTGGCGTCGTAATTATATAAAAATATTGGATACCGTTGAAGGATACGCCTGACACTGGGACAGATAGGAAAAAGACTTTGACACTTTGTCAGAATAGATTGAATGTATCAGATTCATGTTAAAATCACGTAAATATATCACGGTTATATGAAAAACATGTATCCTTCTGTATTCAATAATCCGAAAGTTAATTTAAAAAATTAGGCAGATTACGTGATCAGAACTTACTGGCTTTTGCTGACAAAGCAGGTAACAACATAGTCTCCGTTTGAGATGCTCATTATAGAAATTGTATTTTATAAGAAATTGGATTTAATTCTACTAGTTCTAATCCAATTTTTACGGTGTTTATGTATATCTCAGTTAATTGGATACACAAGCGCATGCTCTACGTACGGATAATTTCAAAAACGAGGTAATTTATTAAAAAACAACATAGGTGTCGGAACTGGGGGGGGGGGCTAGGGGGCTTAGCCCCTCCCCGAATTTTTTTGAAAATATATACATAATATAGGCGTTGAAAATTGGCGTTTACCTTTTTTTGTTCGTTTACCCCCCCCCCTCCCACACTTTCAATGAAAGAAAAAGTGAGCAAGCTCACATACCCCACGCTCCCCCAAAACTCAAAGTGCTGAAAATCCCGGGAAAAAAATGAAAAATCGGAATTTTCTGGTAATATGCACATCTACACATTGTGTCCTAAATATCTGCAAAGGTTGACCAAATTCTGTGCGGCAGTTTATGAGGAGTTGCCCTGACAAACTGTTCATCTCTATATTCAAGATATCCCCAAAAATCTAATTTGAAAAGTGCCGAAATTCCCAGAAAAATGAAGGAATCGGAATTTCCTGGTAATATGCACATCTACACATTGTGTTCTAAATACCTGCAAAGTTTGACGAAATTCTGTGCAGCGGTTTATGAGGAATTGCGCTGACAAAATGTTCATCTCTATATTCAAGGTATGGCCAAAAATCTAATTTGAAAAGTGCCAAAATTCCCGGGAAAAATAATGGAATCGGAATTTCCTGGTAATATGCACATCTACACATTGTGTCCTAAATACCTGCAAAGTTTGACGAAATTCTGTGCAGTGGTTTAAGAGGAGTTGCGCTGACAAACTTCATCTCTATATGCAAGGTATGGCCAAATGCCTAAGTTAAAAAGTACGGAAATTCCCGGGAGAAATAACGGAATCGGAATTTCCTGGTAATATGCACATCTACACTCTGTGTCCTAAATACCTGCAAAGTTTGACGAAATTCTGTGCAGCGGTTTATGAGGAGTTGCGCTGACAAAATGTTCATCTCTATATTCAAGGTATGGCCAAATGCCTAAGTTAAAAAGTACGGAAATTCCCGGGAAAAATAACGGAATCGGAATTTCCTGGTAATATGCACACCTACACATTGTGTTCTAAATACCTGCAAAGTTTGATGAAATTCTGTGCAGCGGTTTAAGAGGAGTTGCGCTGACAAAAAAAAAAAGGACTGACTGACTGACACTCTGACTGACACTCTGACGGACGGGTCAAAAACATTATACCTCCCGCAACTTGTTGCGTGGGTATTTAGCCCACCCTCCACTTTAAATTTGCTATCGACGCCTATGAACAAGTTGATGAAACAACAATACCAAGTCTTGTTGAAGGTCATCGTTTCGTAGGTTCTATGGTCGATACACTGACCATGTCAATAAATACACTTTATCATTGAGTCAAATACTGACTGACGTTTTTCATACTCATTATTATTCCATTATTTATACACTGAATTGACGACGGATTTTCCCGTTATTTCCCGATCATGACAAGGAGCACACGGTTGGTATGACCGCTCCTCCATAGCACCTGATCCCACCTCTGATGTTTTGGAGGTCTGTGTTTGCTCTGCTTCGATTTTCTATTGTTTTGTGGATCTTAGATCTTAAATACTGTTCGTTATCTCCTACGATTCATTCATTCATTTTTCCAAACAATCGAGAGACATTCTATGATCAATTTGTAAAAATACCTTTTGTAAATTTCTATTAAATAATATCAATATATTTAAATAAAATAAATCATTTTTTTTCATTAAAATATTTCTGCCTTAAAATGCAAAAATACGGGTAAATCTAAGAGGAGGTGTAATTAGTCTAATTGGTATATACAAAAATAAACTTTCAAAAAATAATGTGTTATTTACATGTAGGAACAGGGGGAATGTAGATTTTTAATTACTAGTTGCGGGAAAAGGTAGACAAAACCTTATTCAAGCTATAAACTCACTAATTCTAATAAAAAATAACGTCTAGCAATAAGAAGTTCGCTTGTCAATAGTCAAACACATCATTCTTCATCCCCATTTTCTAGCATTTTAAAGTGCTTCGATCCTGAGTCAGAAAGGATAACTCTAATTATAATATTAGTTATTTAATTTAAAAATCCCGAAATCAAGCTTGAAACTGAAATATTTTCGTGTAATAATTTTCATTTTATAAAATAAATTTGATTCAAGATTTTACAAAGTCTCAGAAGAGGTCTTGTTAAAAAAAATTGTACCCCATGAAGTACAAAATATAAATACATTCAAATAGAAGTCGAATATCCCTTAATCTAGTCTTCGATACTCATGTTTTAGTGTGATATGCAAATAGCAAATAAAAGTGATCTGTGATGTCATTAAACGATGACACAAGGGTGTTAAAATATGCATGTTATATTAGTTGAACTAAATAAAAAATAAATGATCGACTAAGTATGAAAAGCATACACTTTTCTCCATATGCCTGGAAACCTATAAAAAATATTGTAAAATATTATTGTTGATCAATTTCTAATTAGAAAATGTATAGCAGATACTTTGATTCGCATTTCCTGAAAACATATTTGAGATATAATCATTTTTTGTATATAATATGATTAACTTAAAATATAAAGCTTTTATTAAATACCCTGGGTAAAACGCATTATTTTGAGAATTCAGAGACATTTTTATGATCATTTTCAATTACCCAGCTCCTTTATAGAACCTGAGAATCGGAGTACCTTAACAATAGGTATATCTAAGTATATGCAGTGAATCATTTGATACATGTACATAACTCAGTTGATTAGTTAAAAACTATTTAAGCATCTAGGAACAAGTACAAAAATATTCTTATATTAATAATGATTGAATTATATCAAAAGCACGTATAGATGGCTTTTGGATTAAATATCCATTTCTCTATTAAACATCAAACAAATAGCTAAATGTTTGAAAATTAAATAATAAACTGAAAATATTTCAAGACCAAGTGATTTTAAGTAAGCGGAAGAAAACATGATCAAGTGAAGAAAAACAATTTAGTTTAATTGATTACTTCAAAAAGGTAATTGTAATTTATTGATAACATTTAAATTTAATTTACCCATCCATGATGTCCAAGCTTTGAAACTTTCGTTCATTATTCATTCATGCAGAAATACAGAAAAGTAGTAACATAAAAATATAAATTCCCGTCACTAATAATGATTGTATGTAGAATCGTTCTTGGGGTCAGTATATAATATGTTTATTTCTTCCATACATTGTAGTTCTTCCATGAAAGACACCAAAAACAAGCATATTTCTGATTGTAAAGGTATTTGATTTAATTCTAATTTAAACAAAATATAATTTCCCTCTTTACCCATTTCAAAGACATATTTGAAATCATCGCTTTTCAAAATAAACTATTCAATTTTTAAGGATATGAAGCATTTAGCGGATGTGAAATGGGTTATTTTGGGATAAACTGCTCAGTAGCCTGCAGATACCCTAGTTATGGAAATGAATGTCAATCACGATGCAATTGTTCAAACACAACATGTCACCACGTCAAAGGATGTCAACATTTCTCAGGTATATCAGAAGACATTTCACATAATAACCAAAAAAAAAACAATTTAAAAATAATTTCATTTTTTGAGTGAAAAAAGTTTAGATAATATGATTTACATTTAAATCCACAGTAGTTAATAACAGCGATTTCTTTTTGAATATGTAAGAATTCGCATTCTGATAGCTTGGAAAGTTTTTTTAAACGATGTATGTACACATTTTGACCCGTTAATTTGCAATCAGCTATCAAACGGAGGTGCGTCAGTAAACGGAGGTACCACACTACCTTTAAATATTGATGCTTTGAGACTTTCTTCAATTATCATTTTCATGTATCAAGTAAACATTTCGTTAAGAAATTAAAATTTCCCTTACGAAAGTGTAATATTCTAAAATTCATTTTTTGCAACATATATATGAAGGATATGGAGATAACAAAAAGTATTCAATATCAAACTCCATAAAACAATACAAAACAGGAGCACAGCAAACACGGACCTCCAAAACATCAGAGATGGGATCATATTTATACAGCACTTCCTTTTCTTTCTTCAAATACTTAAATTTTATAATAATTGAAGCGATCAGAAAATTTTTATTTGTATTTTTATAGAACTCTTGAGATTTAGGTTTAGCCAAAATTATTTTGTGAAAAACACTTGACCTTTGGAAAAAGCTTAATCATTTTTCTTTTTAATTGCATACAAAACTTTTTGTTTTAGAAGAATATGGTTTAACAACTGGTTCCATTTCAACAAAAGAAAAGTTTAGCTTGGAAAAATACATAATGATCACATCTATAGGCGTTTCCTCTAGTCTGGCTTGCATTTTCATCATGCTGTCTCTAATCCTCATTTGGCGTCGGCAACGAAACATCGATGTAAATCAACAAAATACTGCCTCTACATATGAAACACGTCTTCAAGACGACATACATTCAGCTTTCTATATATACAGTCGACCAAGGGATGAAATGGATCAGACCACAAATTCTCAATACCACAAGTATGAAACAATACCCGAAGAACATTTTCTGGAAACAAAACATGAGCGTAAAGACCCACCAGAAACATAGGCGCTTGGTTTCAGGATGGTGTATTTTGTGCATTATGTATTTATCTCGGTGTTTCCGAATACACCCATTAAATTCAAATCTTAAAAATTGCTGTAATAAGCACATATAAAAATACAATGTTACTATATTTAATAAGAGTGAAGATAGGATACTTGACGTCTTAGATTGCATGGGGTGCCTCGGTTCACACTTGGTTCTAATATCTACACATTTCCTACTGGTTTTGGATGAAATGTAACTTAAATTAATGGTTGAATAATACCCGTCAATCGCCTGCTAATTTTAACTTGATTTATCTTTTTTAATTGTAATTCATATAATTACAAAAGGATTGGGCACGTGTTATAAAAACTTATTACGCCATCTCCCTACAAGTAAATTACACATTAGATTTGTAACACTTTTTAAGTATTTAAATCTAAAAGAATGGTATATGTATGTTTGAACAAAAAAAAAAGGAGATGCATATGCTTATTCTCTGCAGCATTCAATGAATCTATCCCCATACTAAAATATAAATAATAGTTATCTGTAATGCAGATTTTTTCTAATTGTAAAACAAAACTGGCTTTCACATACTTTGGACTTGCGAAAAATAATGATAAGGACCCTGCCTTTTTTTCATGGATCTTTCCTCCTTATCATTGAGAGTTTAGTGATAAAGTTTCGATTCGATTGCGAACATCATTACTGTTCTGTAGCTTGGTAATATCATTTATTTCTCAGTAATGTTGTATGAATATATAGGGTTTATCAAATTATGAAAAACTATATAAAACCGGTGACAGGAGCAAGGTATCTATGATGTGTTGTATAGAGCATAAATTACCTTGAAAATATTTATTTTTGTGAATCCCTACGAGCTAACTCTTTACTGTTGATAGTAATTCATATGTTTTTTTCTCGGAATATCCGTTTATGGAGCAGAAGGAATATATTGAAAGTAAGTCAAAAATCAATTTTATATACTGATATATCATATATATATATATATATATATCGATCCAGACATCCAATTTTAAATCGTTAGTCAGAAAGTCAATAAAATGCAAATTCAAAATGAGTAAACTGTATGTAATACAATATTGGTAAAAAAAAATATGGAACCTTATGTCTGTCATTTGTATCCTATTTAGAATTTTTTCATGACTATTTGTTTCCGCAATTACTATTTCTACTATTTCATTCATGGTTATAAAGATTATCTAATCTTAAGGCGTCTCGATCATCAGGTTTATAAAATTAGCAGTTAAGTAATCAAAAATACTCATAAATGTATCCCTGAATTCACAAAGTTATGTAAATTTATCCACAGTATTTCTTTAAAATTAAAGATTAAAGTTAATCATATTATGCTGTATAGGGAAAGTTGTCAAATCTCCAATATTTTTACAGAAAAGGCGAATTAGAATATCAGCATTTCCTAATCGCAAATTGTTCAAAAAATATATTTTAAGTTAAAATACAATAGGTATCCAGGCATTCAGAGAAATTGTCATGATTTTTATACTTATTTGGTATTTTTTATCTTCTATTTCCGTCATATATTCTATGATACATAGTGTAAATGGCTTTTGCTATCAAAGCAAGACACCACAAGTCACTTCTCATTTCATATCATGCTAATATCATTAGTATCTAAGGCTGGATTAAAGACAATCTTATTTTTCTAAATCTGCATTATTTTTTTACATTTTATAGGGTACAAATGTCAACTTTTATGAGACCTTTTCTAAGACTTCCAAAAACCTTAAACCTATAAAGATGAATAAAATGAAAATTGTGGCATAAAAGACATTTATTTTCAAACTTCATTTTGATGCATTTCAAATTAAATATTAATTTTTAGAGATATCCTTCCTGGCTGAGGATCGTATATCCTTAAGTTATCGTTCCTGCTACGCTCAAATGCACACCTCTGTCAACGCTGGTTGTGCAAGATTTGACTTCATTCATTAACTTTACGAAATTCTTAATACATTCTATATGTAGTTTAATGAGCATATTTATATTTGATTATATATTTTTATTATTATACATTTACACTTCAATTCAGGGCTCATAAAGGTATATCACAATCAGTACCGGAGGATGAACAGAATTATTGAGGAAGGAAGAATTGAGTACTTGACTAATATCATCTTACGCATGCACTTTACTATTCAAGTTTTTAAGTTCTATTCGTCTGGTTTGATCATGAAGGAGGCAGAGGTGCAGGTTTATTCTTTGTAGATTTTTTATGCTCATCTACTTGTTGATCTTCTTTTTCACTAAAAATAGGAGAAAACATTAAGCGACCTCACTCACGATGTTTACATCATCTAAAGAAACACGAGATAAATTTTCAATATAACTGATGATCTCTATTGAAACATACTTTGCTCTTGGGGGATCTGTTGGCCGCGGTGGTGCCGTTTTCTTTTTGGGTCCTTTATTCTCACCTAACGAAAAAAAGTAAGTCACTCATCCTGTGCTAAACATTTCAAACAGTATATATGTAAGAATTTGTAACTTGTATCACTGCACAGTTGTGTAATAATTAATGTTTTTCTGTCATATTTAAATCTTTGTTGATATATCAATATCAAAAGATTTAATTTCCTTGTTTAACTTATTTTAAGATATCAAAAAACATTTAATTTATACAAATGATACAAACTAAATCAACAATCATTACTTCAATGTACAAAATTTGATCAGTTAATACTGACTAAGTCAATAGTCACAAAAATAGCAATTGTTCTGAACAAAAAGAAACAAATCAGCTCTCTTTGTGATTTATAGAGAAGACAATTTTCAATACAATCAATTAATATAGCATGGTCTTGTGACAGAACCTCCGACCCATGAACTTCATAATTATGGAAGAGTCATCATTGTATATAATATACATTTTTTGTAATATAAAAATCCATATAATTGTTTTTGAAAGAATTTATGAATTTCATTGTATGACGAAAAGAGCCTTGGCTAAACACTAAACCCTGACTCAGGTAACCTAAAAAGTGCTTACCATGTTCTTCTATTTGTCTTTTCAAATCGTCATTCTTTTTATTGACTTCAGTAAGTCTTACTAAAAAATACAATAATCAGATGACATTAAACAAAAGATTTCAAAAGATACCACAACGCCTGACACATTCGTTTCATATTTATACATTTTACTTGAAAAGGAAATAAATAAAAATTAATCAAGATCCTTTTAGAAATCGAACAGAAGACCTACCCGTTGCTCGCAACGAGATCCCTTCTATAGTTCATATTATTAAATTTCATTGCATTAGCAATATTTCATCAAAGGACATGCCTTTTAATCCTTGTAGATCTTTTATCTTTCTTTCGATTTCTTCCTTCTCCTTATTTAACTCTACGAGTTTCTTTACAATTACAAGTAACTTGTGAAATTTTCTTCAAACGGGAAGGACTTGCCAAGGACATTGAAGGATATGCCTTTTAATCCTTGTAGTAAAATGCTCACCACTTTGATCTTTTATATTTCTTTCCAAGTTTTCCTTCTCATTTTTCACCATTGAAAGTTCCTCTACAAAATAAAATCAATTTGGATGATGAGAAAAAAAAAATTTCCACTTGCCAAGGACATCAAAGGACATGCCTTTTAATCCTTATAGTATAAATGCTTACCACTTTGATCTTTTATCTTTCTTTCCAAGTTTTCCTTCTCATTGTTCACCTTTGAAAGTTCCTCTACAAAATAAAATCAATTTGGATGATGAGAAAAAAAAAGTTTCCACTTGCCAAGGACATCAAAGGACATGCCTTTTAATCCTTGTAGTATAAATGCTCACCACATTGATCTTTTATCTTTCTTTCCAAGTTTTCCTTCTCATTGTTCACCTTTGAAAGTTCCTCTACAAAATAAAATCAATTTGGATGATGAGAAAAAAAAAATTTTCCACTTGCCAAGGACATCAAAGGACATGCCTTTTAATCCTTATAGTAAAAATGCTTACCACTTTGATCTTTTATCTTTTTTTCCAAATTTCCCTTCTCATTTTTCACCTTTGAAAGCTCCTCTACAAAATAAAGTCAATCTGGATTTTAAGAAAAAAAAATTTCCACTTGCCAAGGACATCAAAGGACATGCCTTTTAATCCTTGTAGTATAAATGCTCACCACTTTGATCTTTTATATTTCTTTCCAAGTTTTCCTTCTCATTTTTCACCATTGAAAGTTCCTCTACAAAATAAAATCAATTTGGATGATGAGAAAAAAAATGTTTTTAACTTGCCAAGGACATCAAAGGACATGCCTTTTAATCCTTGTAGTAAAAATGCTTACCACTTTGATCTTTTATCTTTCTTTCCAAGTTTTCCTTCTCATTGTTCACCTTTGAAAGTTCCTCTACAAAATAAAATCAATTTGGATGATGAGAAAAAAAAATTTTCCACTTGCCAAGGACATCAAAGGACATGCCTTTTAATCCTTGTAGTAAAAATGCTTACCACTTTGATCTTTTATCTTTCTTTCCAAATTTCCCTTCTCATTTTTCACCTTTGAAAGCTCCTCTACAAAATAAAATCAATCTGGATTGTAAGAAAAAAAAAATTCTACTTGCCAAGGACATCAAAGGACATGCCTTTTAATCCTTGTAGTAAAAATGCTCACCACTTTGATCTTTTATCTTCCTTTCCAAATTTTGCTTCTCATTGTTCACCTTTGAAAGTTCCTCTACAAAATACAATCAAATTGGATGATGAGAAAAATTATTTTTTTAACTTGCCAAGGACATCAAAGGACATGCCTTTTAATCCTTGTAGTATAAATGCTCACCACATTGATCTTTTATCTTTCTCTCCAAGTTTTCCTTCTCATCTTTAACATTTGAAAGTTCCTCTACAAAAGAAAATCAACTTGGATGTTAAAGGTACTTGGACACAGATTTGAAGTTATTATTTTCTCTATAATATTACGACTTATATATTTTAATAGCATTTCACACAAAAATTAATTAAAAATCTTATTTCATATAAAAGATATTAAAATTTCAAATTTTTTGGCGGGTTTGATTGACACATCCTTGCACTTTCACAAATTAATTTTATTGTTAGTCCTTAGGAAAAGTGGCAATCTCTTTTTGTATTATAAATGAAAAAAATATTAATACTATTATCCAGAAATCTCAGAGTAGACATGTTCGAAAGCGAAACAAACACACAATATATTGTCAGTCTGTGCAGTTGTGGTAAGCAGACTGTGACCAATGAACGCACCCGGTAAATTTTAAACATAAACAATAACAGAACTCGTGCCCTGTTTACAAAAACTGTGTACATAACACGAGTGTGTTCGATTTGCTACACTCTGTGCACAACTCTTAGTTCAGAGCGACGTTACCTGCGAAGGAGTTTTGCTTTCTAATATTTCTACTCTGAATAAAATTATTTTTCTGCATATAAGTTTTAATATTTCTCATTAATACACAACAACATTGCCACTTTTCCTAAGGATTAAGAATAAGGTTAAAATTTGTGAAAGTGCAAGGATTTGTCAATCAAACCCGCCAAAAATTTGAAGTTTTAATAACTTTTAAATGAAATAAGATTTTTAATTAATTTTTGTGTGAAATGCTATTAAAATATATAAGTAATATTGTAGAGAAAATATTGACTTCAAATCTGTGTCCAAGTACCTTGAACAAAAATAATGTTCTCAACTTGCCAAGGACACCAAAGGACATGCCTTTTAATCCTTGTAGTACAAATGCTCACCACTTTGATCTTTTATCTTTTTTTCCAAGTTTTCCTTCTCATTTTTCACTTTTGAAAATACCTCTACAAAATAAAATCAATTTTGAAGATGTGAAAAATATTTTTTTTCCCACTTTGTCCAGGATATCAAAGGACATGTCTATTAATTCTTCTGGTAAAAATGCTCACCACTGTGATCTTTATTTTTTCTTTCCAATTTTTCCTTCTCATTATTCTCCTCTGCAAGTTTCTCTACAATATACAATCATCTTGGATGAGATCCCTTTGTAGCCCTTGAGGGTCACGATTTAAAAAAAAAGAAATAATCACTATACGATGAAGTTTCCGTGTCAATATTGAAAATTTTATCCATCTCTTCAAATCGCATGTGTGAAATTTGGTATGTATAAACTCTGATGTCACATGACGCTGTATGTGAGTTGCATAACCAAACTGAAAGCTGATCAGTGCTAATTTTAAGAAAGAATGTTAAATCTACTAATCACAACATTATCTATGAAATCAATGTGATTTTACTTTTTTGTTGAATTATTGCTTCCGCGAAAAGGTAGTTTGTGGCGAGATGTAATACAAGATTTTAAGATTGTAACTCTCCAACGACAGAGGCGCAAAAAGTATCCATATGAGCATGGAAGTGTATATAAAAGAACGATGGCTATGGTTTTTAAAACTCATTTAATATTATAGAATGTTGATAAAGCTAACAAATGATCATTTTGATGGTTTTATAAAGCTCTAATATACATATTTACATTTTTTCTTTCCATTTGGATACTTGAAAACGGAAGAAGCGTCATAATCTTTGTAAGAAAAATAATTCTTTAGTTATGCAAACCCTTTCTAAAACGTAATTCAGCTCTTTAATTTTATATTTAGTCCGGGGAGATTACATCAGATTGCCGATGAACATACAATGATCAGAGACGTGTGTATTTATTAGAAATCCATATCTCTTCCCTCTTTTGATACCACTGATATTTTCCTTAGACTGTTCCTATATCTTTTTCTTTCGATCCGATTTTTGTTCATAGAAAAAATATCGCCTTTACTTTAAGGTTTCGTCAAAGGTCAACATGTCCAAAAATTTATTTTAACAATAGCTCCAAAACTATGTGAGGTATAAAGTTGAAACTTTTACAGTTTATAAATATTTCATTATTAATAAATAAGAGCAGAGCGAACAGGGACCCCCGAAACATCAGAGGAGGGATCAGGTGTCATGGAGGAGTGAGCATCCCCTGCCGACCGGTCACACCCGCCGCGTGCTCCATGTCATGATCAGGAAATAACGGAAAAAATCCTTCGTCAATTCAGTGTATAAATAATGGACTAACAATTGGTATGAAAAACGTCAGTCAGCATTTGACTCAATGATAAATTGTATTTGCTGACAAGGTCATTTTATCGACCATAGGACTTAAGAAATGAGGACTTTAAACGTTCTTGTTTCATCAACTTGCCTGTCAATGATTTACCTCGTTTCAGAAACTGTTCATAAGTAGAGCATGCTCTTGCGTATCGAATCAACTGAGATATATATTCTCCGTATCCAGGTGATGAAGGTATATTGCTGCATTTGCAAGGGAAGTTGATGATAGAAAAGTTAAAGTCATCACGTTTATCATATAGTTCGGTTGTTAGATTACCATTAGCGTCTTTTTCAAGTGAAATATCCAAGTATGAAACAGAAGTGTCAGACTCTGTGGTATCTTTTATCTCAAGCTCACCAGGATATATCGTATCGACGTGGAATGGAAATTGCCATTGTTAATTGACAATACATCGTCGATATATCTAAATGTCGAGTTGAAGGCCACAGCAAGTGTTTTCTTCTTTTCACGCATAAGATTTTGCATAAATTCTGCTTCATATGAATATAAAAATAAGTCTGCTAATAACGGAGCGCAATTTGTACCCATGGGAATTCCAATAGATTGTTGGAATACCTGGTCTCCAAAAACCACATAGAAATTGTCAATCAGAAACTCAAGCATCTTCTTGATGTCAACTTCAGAGTACTTATGTGTGCAATCAGAATCTGTTTGAACAAAAAAATTTTGCAAATGACCAATGACGAGGTAAGTAAATTTACGAGTTCCATTTTTATTGAAGAAGCAGCTGTCAATGATATCAAAAAGCCTGGATTTTAATTTGTCGTGGGGAATTGTTGTGTATAAAGTTGAAAAGTCGTAAGTTTTTAAGTTGTTGATTTTTGTAAAGTCTTGTGATTTCAAATTATCCAAGAGTTCTTTAGAATTTTTTAGAATCCACATCTGATTCACACCACTTCTTGAATATATAGTTGCACAGTACTCTTGAAGTTTTTCCTTCACTACTGTCAATATCTTAGTGAGGTGTATCGAAAGAGGCTTGGTTGAATATTTACTGGAACCTGCAATGTATCTTTGTTTGTAAGGATTCTTATGAAGTTTCGGAATCCAATACATATATAAGGTATTTCAAATTCATTTTGGCTCTGTGGAATATTGAAAGTATTCAAAACTGACACGTGATTTTGAAGAATTTCTTCCTTAGAAAGAAGCAGTTTTTTCTCTTTTAAACCATGAGCAACTTTTTGTCTATTAACCTCCTTTTAACACAACATTACAAAAGCAAATATACAACTACAGTTAGAAGGAGAACAATAGACAAACATGCACTGACTATGAATAAAGTCAGTAAAAAAGTGGGCGTCCTCATTATCGTACGGAGATTGAAGAACTTGTGATGACCCCCGCCTTATAAAACAGATTCGTACATCGTAGATACATACTTTTATTTATTGTAATAAAGTAAAGTTGTAGATTAGATGTTGATCATTTCTGCAATTAAAAGAAAAATTGTCTGTTTTGAAAGTTTATTTTGACGCAAATTTCGCAAATTATTAAGTGCAGTCATCCTCTCTAATTCCTCCGAAAGAATTTCTAATTCTTCTGAACAAATATCTAATTCGTCTAACCGAACTTCTAAGTTCGTCCAAACAAATTAAAATATTTTTCTATCTGGACCGCTAGCGGCGCCGCACAGAACGAACTAAGTGAAACAAAACTTTTTCACATTAAATCAAACAGAGAAATCCTGGAAATTGCTTCGATACTTTTCCCGTTATTTCCCTTTATATATTAATGACGATTAAGCAAAAAATAGTTTCTTTCAGATTTACTACTATATAAATATAAAAACATACTTTGGAGTTCTTCTTCTGTTTTCGTATGAGTTTCCTTTAACAGCTGAACTTCCTTTGATCTCTCTTCTCCAGCTTTTCTTTCTTGACTGAGTAAGTCTGTCAGATATATTGAAAGGAAAATCACTATATAGCTCATTTGTCGAAAGAAGGCAAATGATGTACTTGTATTATAATATGTTATGCTTGGTTATTTGTTCGAATAATGTTTAATGCTTATAGATAATTACAGGTATATACTTCCTTTATAGTTTTAAGGATCAAATACTTTACAACTAGAATCTCTTCTGAAAATCCTTGTACCATTCAAGAATTTTATTTCCTGTTCTTGTTTTTCTATTTTATCCTCCATGATGACTTTCTCTGCTACACATTTACACATGACATATTTGCTTTTTTAACCTATGGTTTTTTAAATATTTTATTATTCCATAAAGAAAATAAAACATAAAAAATAGTGTGAGCAGGCATAGGATAACAGTTATGAATAAATCCTTGTCATAAATTACAATAACTGCTCACATTTGAATTTTCTGAAATTATTTTCAAAGCTTATATTTACACAATTTTTAACATGAAATAATTGTTTTTTTTTTTATTTTAATCTGTCATGTTGAACCGTGTCACATCTTATTTCGAGTTACAACGAGTGACACTGTGGACTATAGGACCTGTCTACTATGAAAGGATCTGACGGAGAAAAAAAAACTCTCCTTAAAACATTGTCCCTCTATCTGTTAGACTACATTTGTTTCACTTGAGATTATGATGATCTCTTATGTTCCTGTTTATAATGCATACAATAAATTAAAAACAAAGATATAGAGGGGAAATAAATCTTCACCAAGGGAGAGCTCCCTGCATCAGATATGATATAGGAAAGTGACTTAATATTTAAACAGGTTTTCGAAACAAACAGCGATCAGACAGAAAAATATATAAAATCATAAATGGATTAATAAAACATAGACATATTTTCAAAACTAAAGAATAATTTTAAAAATACTGATGCATCATATGGTTAATTTCAACTGTATATCCTGCGATTTACAAAATATTATTAATAATATTTAATGATTATATATGTTTTGATGTGCCATCTTTTTGCTAACATTTTCATATGATGTTTTGATTGTCTTGTCTTACAGATACTTTTTTCTAGTCAGTTTTGGGGGATCAGACGTTATCATATTTTACGTAACTGCTATTCAAAGCTTGTGAATCTGATACCCTTCTTGTTTGTTAAATTGTTCACATTTATACCGTCATTTTAATAAATGATATTATTCATCTCTATGAAACTGATACAAAATTAGCAAAAACAAGCTGCGGTGACCTTGCCTATAAGCATAAGAATACATAAAACAACAATTTTTAGAATAATAATTGTATTTATGTATTGAATGCGATAATTTAGTTGGAGGTTTCCGGGAGGATTAATTTTAGTAAATTGTGAAAATTCTTAGATCCACGCCTTGGTTGATGGATTACATGTAATAGAAGGTGTAAGGTCAAGTGGTCAGCTCAGCGAGTCATTCAGTTGTATTGTGATAACCTGCATGCTGACCACGCTAACATCAGGCACGTTTATTTTGAAGACCCTCCTCCACCCCTGCACTCCTACCCCTTAAAATGGGTATTAATGTGTCATATTAATCATATATTTGATTCGTTCTGACTCGACTTGATTAAACTGTTTTTATGTACATGTATTATGTTTCAGTACTATCCTTAGCCTATTTTGTTTTGATGTGCCATCTTTTTGCTTACATTTTCATATGATGTTTTGATTGTCTTGTCTTACAGATACTTTTTCTAGTCAGTTTTGGGGGATCAGACGTTGTCATATTTTACGTAACTGCTATTCAAAGCTTGTGAATCTGATCCCCTTCTTGTTCGTTAAATTGTTCACATTTATACCGTCATTTTAATAAATGATATTATTCATCTCTATGAAACTGTTTTATTTGACTTATACAAAATTAGCAAAAACAAGCTGCGGTGACCTTGCCTATAAGCATAAGAATACATAAATAAAATTCCCACCATTAATTTCTCTTTTCAATTTTTCATTTTCTTCACTGGCTTTTGCTAGGTTCTCTAAAAATATAAATTGCATGAAACATTATTTACAAAAATATACATCTATTTTTATTACTGACAATTAACACCCTTACTAATGTGTTCGGAACCTTTTATTTATCGGTGTTCTGCAAATTATAAAACCCGATGAGTTCAGAGTAGCTCTGGTAGTGGCTCTGGCGTGAGTTAGCGAGACTTCAGCGAGATAGGGTAAATTATTCACGGAAATGTGGCTAGGAAGTAACTAGCACATGGAGGATGGTAAACAGAAAAGTTATGTTGCGTTTCAGTTTTCACCACCCTAAAATCAGCTGATAATGTCTGTAGAAATGTACTTCAATCAATCAATCTCTCTTACATTCATTCAAACTTAAATAAGTGTTCTCCATTATACAATTTTCTGCAGTCATGAATTAAAATTTCTTTTTGGACAGATATTTTTGCATGGGAACAGGGACTATATTTTTGGCATCAGATACGAAACTGAGGCACGAGTATGATTTTAACTGACCAATCAGCTGATTGCATTATGGGTTACTACGAATACTACAGGAATTTTACGCTTGAAAAAAAGGAAAATCTTATGGTAAATGGAAAGCATTTTTAAAAATATTATATTCATGCTCATAATGACAAACAATTAATTTGTTGAATAAACGGTGGAAGTCTAGGTTTCTGAAAGTCATACTGCAAAAGCAATTTGCGTCTGTATTGATTCCTTTGTTGTACTATCGGTGAATACAATTGCCAGGTGGATTCCCTGGCCGAACACGTGATCACCAACGTAAACAAGGTTTTTTTAAATGCATAAGAGATGCTGCTCGTTTTCCTTACCCTTGAAGCGCTGTTGTTCTGAACTAGACACAAACTACATTTTATTAAACATTTTTTTTCAGTTAACAACAAATTAAAAACGCCGTAACACCTTTAATAGTTTCTTACCTTTGTATTTTGATCGTAAGGACATTTTTTATTCTGTAGTCCATTGACATGATCTTAGATTGACCTGAACTATGTGTTCGAAGTAACATGTAAACATGAATTTGGTGTAAACGTTGCTATTCATTCAACGATTGCTCATGGTAAGATCCTCTGTGCGCATTTATAACAATAGCCATATAAGGCAAACAAAGGTTTTTCAGTGTAGATGATAATAGATTAAACATTTTTAACCAGCGAATCGGTCACTAGGGAGCTCTAATTTTCGCCGGAAAGTATAAGATATATTGTTATTTTAACACCCTCTCCTTTAGCCACCCTTTTTCTGTTAAAAATCATGAAAGTCTTTCAGAAGGGTCTGGAAACATTTATTACAGGACATGTTTTCAAAAGAAACAGGCTATAGCAATATCATGTTCACTACCAATTTTATTTATATAACCGGTTCTACCCTATAACCTTTGAATAGATCAACCTAAACCACGTGTCTTGAATTAAAATCACAATAACATTAGTAGGGGTGATTAAGTGAATATAATTATTGTGTTCCTTTCGTTTGTTTAGAACAGAAAAAATACATAACTGGCGAAAGCCAATTTTGCATTGGAAAGGGGGGAGGGGCAATATCTGCAACCGTAAACCGTATAAAGAATAAGTCACATAATGTAGGTTTAAGTATTTTGAATATCAGTTTGTCTTATTATATACTTCATTGATTGAAGAGGTGAAATATAAACTGTAAGGTAACCGAGGGAGCTCTTTCCATCAGATAGGAAACTAAAGTAGAAACAGGTTTTTCGAAACAAACAACAATAAGGCATAAAAATATATAAATTCATTAATTGATAAAATTTTTAACTTGAAATATTATCGTTTTACTAACAACGTGACAGTTTGCCTGATGGGGCGTGCTAAAAGTTTGTATGCTGATTATCATTTTACCCATGGACTGGATGCTGATTTCAATGGAATCAATAGTAATTTGCATTTAAAACACAGAACCCGGCATTACCAATAACAATACTGACCAATCGTATTGAATGATCGCTCTCTATACACCAATTAAATGTGAACGTACAAAGAAAGTTTTACTGCTATTGTATACAATGCATGATCGATCATTGTAAAATTTGTATAGACAGATGAGAAAGAAATCTTGATGAAATATCTTGCTGAACATTCGCTGAAGCAGCCTAATAAATATTTGATAAGGATCTAATCCTCATATCTTACACGTTTCATAATTCTTTTCACTAAGGAGACTCTTCTCATTACATTTTCTTTGAAAATCGTTACTTTTAAAGGCTGATCAAGTACTCAAAACTTTCCTTATTTGACAATGTACTTTTTGAAGTTTAACCCATAAGGAATACTTTGTATTTTCGGTATAATGACTCTTTGTATCAATCGATCGTCACTACTGTAAACAATGATTTACCCTAGAAATCTTGCGAGATTGAGAGCTTCCTCCACTCCACCGCAAAAGAGAAGCAGTGAGTTAGGTAACTGCGAGGTACTCGCAATGCAACGTATTTTACAAGAAATGTCGCATGGATTATTTCAACGATATATCTTGCGATTCACAAAAATATTATATCATTTAATGATTATATAAATAAAATCCTCACCAAGATTTTCTTGAATTTTTCTTTTCAGTTCTTCATTTTCTTGATTGGCTTTCGCTAGACTCTCTAAAAGTATAAATCACTTGAAAAAGTAATAGACGTGTTCTTTTATCGATGACAATTAATAAATATTATTATTCTGTTTCCTTCCTTTGTTAGTTACAGAGAAATACATATCTGGCGAAAGCCAGTTTGTATTAGCTGCAACCGTTAACTCACGTACCACAAAAGAGGACATTATTTTTTATTATGTCTGTATAAAAATACATCATATAATATGGGTTTAAATATATAAACTATCAGTTCGTCTGAGTTAACTTCATTGATTGAATAGCATACCGCACAAGAAATTAATACCTGCTTGACGAAACAGTTCTAAGCGACGTTTATTGATTCATAAAATGAAATACATGTTGATGGACATTACGAACAGTATTCAAGCTCAAATGTCCTTTAAATAATACAAAATTGGAGCAGAACAAATATGGACCTAAAAAAATCAGAGGTGGGATCGGGTGCCATGTGGGATTGACTATTCCAGGCCGACCGGCCAAATCTGCCGCGTGCTCCTTGTCCTGATTGGGAAATAACGGAAACATAATTCCGTAGCCAATTCAGTGTGTATATAATGACCTAACAATGTTTTCTCTGCTCCTGATTTGTTTTTTTGCTTGGACTTTTGAGCTTAAAAACTGTTCATTGCCTCCCTATGTATTTCATTTTTCTAAATTTCTAAAATACACAACATTAGTAAATTATATATATATTAACGATACAAAATAAAGGAAATTGACCACATCAATTCTTTTAAGAAAATTTTAATAAAAATTCCTTTTTTCCTTGAATATGAGCATCAGTTTTAAAATAAAGTGAATCATACAAATTATATTCCATTAGAAGAATTTATTACAATGTACATGAACGCTCGTACCTGAATTAATCATATCTCGGTTGATGAGAGACCGTGTTTCTGGATTTCTATCCTCCTCTTCACGTACATCTGTTCAAATTAAGTGAGTCAATATTTAAAAATAAAGGAAGTGTATTTGAATTTATTGTTACTCTCTAAACTTTATTATAAACAATGATGAGGAATTAAGAAGGTACTTGACAAACTGTCATAGTAGTTAATATCTATTTATAACTATTATACGTATTTCATGTTTCTATGCTTTTTTGATTTAACTCCCCATCGCCAATTATCTTTGAAAAAGCTGTTCTATAAGCTAGGACATTGCAAATCGCCGATCGGAAAGAAACGCGAAAGAAGCAGTTATAACTGAATTCATTAAAATTCAGGCGCCAGCTGACTCCTTAAATATAGTCGTCAATGCAAATTTTCAGTCGCAAGACAATTACTTCTTTGGTGCCAAGTTAGATATACGTCCTCATTGGGTTATTCCCAGGAAGGGGAGGGGGTATATTGCAATCATAAAGATTCTTTTTTCCTCTACGGAAAAATATGGTCGCCTGCGTGGCCCAGTGGTTAGAGCATCTGCACTAGATTCGCGAAGTAAGGATTTTTTTTCTTACGTCGCGGGTTCGAATCCCACTGTGGGACGTGGAGATGGGTCTTTCGGATGAGACCGTATAAACAAAGGTCACATGTCACAGTAGATGCTGGCAGGAAAAAGATCTCTTCCTGCTCAGTTGTCCTGAGTGCCGAGTATAGGACTAAATTTGCAGCTCTCCACCGGCAAGTGGTGGTGTCTCCATATGAGTGAAAAATTCTCGATAGGGACGTTAAACAAGATACAATCAATCAATCAATCAGAAAAAAAAAGTTGAAAGAAAATTAAATGTATCGTTCAAAATTTGATGATCGCTAACTTCATTTAAACAGGACGATAAGTTGTCGATTTATAGAGACATAATAGCGCCAAACGAATTTTTTAGACGCCATGGCGACTAAATTAGTCGCCAGTTAGAGCCATGTTTTGAGCTGATCGAATACTCTTAACTTCTCTTATTTGACAATATACTTTTTAGAGTTAAGCCCATATGAATACATTATATTTTCGGTATATTTTTTTTCGAATCAATCGATTGTCACTACTGTACACAATGATATGCTCTAGAAATTTTGCGAAAAAAAGAGATTCCTCCATTCCATCACAAAAGAGCAGCAGTGAATTACATGTAGGTAACTGAGAGGTACTCGCAATACAACGCATTTTACAAGAAATGTCGTATGGATTATGTCAACGATATATCTTGCGATTCACAAAAATGTTATATCATTTAATGATTATACAGTATAAATAAAATCCTCACCAAGATTTCCTTGAATTTTTCTTTTCAATTTTTCATTTTATTGAATGGCTTTTTCTAGACTCTATAAATTTTCATCACTTGGAAAATTTATTAACAAAAATCAGACTTGTTTCCTTAACAATGACTATTAAATTAATATAATTTTTATGTTTCCTTAGTTTGTTTCTAACAGAACAAGAGGCCGTTAGAAAACATCGCTCACCTGAGTAATTTGGCAATTTTGTTATTTAACAGATTCCCCCTTTTTATACCTACAATGACCCTGCCCTTACCCCAAGGGTTATGACTTGAATGATTTAGAATCAACACTACTCCGGATACTTCCTGATAAGTTACAGCTTTTCTTTCCCAGTGGTTCTTGAGAAGAAGGTTTTTAATTTTTTTTTCATATAAATTTCAATGTAAAACTTGGATTCTGTATTGTGACCCTTGGGGTCATGATTGGAACAATTAAGAATCTAAACTATCCCCAATATGCTTGCTCATAAATTTCAACTTTTCTGGTTCAGTGGGGTTTTTTTTTAATGTCCCCACACTGTTTTTTCTAGATTATCTCCCCTTGGAAGGGGACTTGGTCCTTCAATTTTATAACTTAAACTCCCCTTTATCCAAGGATGCTTTGTATCAACATTGAATAAAATTGGCTACGTGGTTCTTGAGAAAAAGTTGAAAATATGAAAAGTTCACAGACGGACGGACAGAAGGGCCGGAGTGACAACTAGTCATAAGAAAAATTTGCTTTTTTTTTTTTTTTTTTTTTTTTTTGCAATAGTTGCAACCGTAAACTCACATACTAGAAATGAGAGCATGTATTTGTATATATTTATGTCTTTATAAAAAAAAATTATAAATAAATATCATAGATACATGTATATGTTCTTTTTATTTTGATAAGTTCGTCTTAGTTAATTTCATTGATTGAATATCATTTCGCGCAAGAAATTTTTACCTGCTTAAATTAAAGAAATGATTCTAACCGACGTTTATTGATTCATGTATATCGAGATAAGGAAGATTATATTCAAGTTCATAAGTCCTTTAAATAATACTAAATAGGAGTAGAACAAGCACGGACCTATAAAAAATCAGAGATGGATCAGATGTCATGCAGGAGTGAGTATCACAGACCGAAAATACTCATTGTCATGAATGGGAAATAACGGGAAAACCCGTCGCCAAATTCAGTGTGTTTATAATGTATATACTATTAGTGTTAAGCCTGTTTTACAGGAGATGTGTTTGTCCTGGCCCTAATTTGTTTTATTTGATAGGAACTTATGAGCTTAAAAACTGTTCCTCAACTCCCTATATATTTCATTGTTCTAAATTATTGAAATACACGACTTTAGTAAGTTATATATTTATAAATGATACAAATAAAGGAAAATGAGAACAACGGTTCTTTTGAGAAACATTCTCATAAAATATATATCTGATAGCGAGCGCAGCGAGCTGCGCTCGTCACTGCGAGCTGAAAGCAACGCCTGTGCGAAGAGAAAATTTTGGACTACTGCACATTCATTCGATAGAATTTTTTGACGCAGTAATTTGGACCTACAATGCATCACTTGTTAAAGCTACGTTATCGCGAGAATAGCAGCAAAAGTTCAGCTAAAAGTAAACATGCCCTGATTTAATGGATAAACATTGAAGATAAATAGTAAAAGAAACGTTCTTCATTAATGATTTACTTTTAGCACTGTTCAGGCTTCTTTTTGGAAATGTAACTTACATACGACGTCTTGTGACGTCAGAGTCTAGACGCACAAAATGTCACGTGCAGTTTGACGAGCCCGATCTAAATTATAACAAAATAAATATCTGCGCTCGCCATAACGGTCGCACCGTCAACATATTATAATTTTTTCTTGAATATGGAATATTCAATATAATATATATCAGATAAAATCTTATTATATGAGAAAAATGAATAACAATGTACAGGTAAGCACCTTGCATTCGAGGCTGTGTTGCTGTATTTCCATCCTCCTCACCATGTACACCTGTTCAAGTAAAGCTTTCACCAAAGAGCAACATGCCCATTTTTTTTTTTACAAAAGCTACAAACTATAAGGTATATAAATTAAGACTTTAACATTTTATAAATATAAAAAGTATCACTCGATATTTATCGAATATTTATCGAGATAAATTCTTACAAAAAATACATATACTTTTACAAAATACACTTAAGTACATCCGAACTTTTAGTGAAATTCATCACAACAGAAACAAAACATATTTACCAATGAAGGGCAAGTAGGACTTCGATAGCCTCTGGAAAGTTGTTTCCCTTATTTATTTAATTTGTCTAAATGTAAATAAAGACTTGAAACCGAAAGTACAATGCAAATGGCGGATTTTATAGAGACCTTGTCTTTATACATATCATGCTTTCAATAACAGCCTTTCAGAAACCATTCACGTCTCACTTGTCCTTCGTTGATAAACATTTATTATTTCTACAATTATGGTTTTCACTAAAAGTACAGCATTAAACAGATATTTTTCTTCAAATTTGATAATAAAACAAAAGAATTAAATGTTTCATTGATACCATAACTTTGTGAAATTTTCATTATTTGGGGGTTGGGGGAGGGAATCATTTAAAAAAAAAAAACAATCTATTAGTAAACAAAAGAAATTCATTAATAAGTTGTAAGAAATCACTTATTTTGATATTACCTCTTTTACAAATTTTCTTCAATATCCTCTCTCGATACCTCCATATCAATATATGTATGACGATCGTTACGACTACAAATAAGATTACTATTACAGCAACTACCCCAGTGTTGTCATTGGATCTGTAAGAAAGAATGATTTTGTTAGTTCAAATATTTCATATAAAATTAATTAATCATATGTATACGTACATAAAAAAATGACTAAAAGATTTTTTTTCAGAATGAAATCAGTACCTGCACTCCTTATTTTGATTTGCTACTGCTGTTGCTGCTGTTGTTGCTGGTGGTGTATGAGTTGTTCTTGTTTCATTTTTTACATCATACGGGTAGCATCTCTGATCTAGTTAGGAATAATTGTTGTTTGATAAGTGTAGTTCTTTCGCCAATTTTCATAAATTTTATCAGTACAAATCAATTATAAAGGATATTAATGCATACAATTAGTGAATAATCAAAACTAGAAATCAATCTTCACTCCCATTCTTCAAAGAACTTTATTACAAAATTTGATGTTATGTGGAAAAGTAGCATGGAAGGCAAATATTTATAGCGCCAACATAATGATGAGCAAAATACAGGGTGTCCCAGAATATATGATACCGTTTCTTGTTTGAATAAAACACAACTTAATGAATATTGAATAAAAACAAATACATTGTTGATTTGTCATATATTGTCCAATTTTGGTAACATAATTTGTTAGACATCAAAAAGAAAACAACAAAATTAGAACACTTTAAATTTTGATACAGTTATTACATGATGTGCTCCAAATGACGTCCTTTCTGGCTAGTGACGATGTTGAGACGTTGCATGAAATTCCTAATGACTGCGGCACATGTCTCGTCAGTAATCTTCCTGATTTCCCTCCGAATTGCATGTTTTAAGTCTGCTAAGGATTCAAGCTCTGGCTTGTACACATTGTCTTTTAGATATCCCCACAAAAAGAAATCCAGAGGGCTTAGATCGGGGGAATGAGGGGGCCAAATGTGTGTAGTTTTGAAAGAGATAAAAATTTCCATTGAATGTTTCTTGTAGCCAGTCAGTAACATTTCGAGTTGTGTGAGGCGTTGCTCCGTCTTGTTGAAACCATATATCCTTAGGATTAAAACCCCTTCTTACTAAACACGGCAAGAATTTCTTCTTCAAAAGTTCCAGATAGCGAGTACTGTTAACAGTCTGAGTTTCGCCTTATTCATCTTCAAAGAAAAAAGACCCGATTATCCCTATAGAGCAGGTTTCTCCAGATAAAGATTTGGGTTTTCGCTACCCCAGTATCGAGAATTTCTCTTGTTTACTATCCCGTTTAAGTAGAAATGAGCTTCATCGGAAAACCAAAATGTCATTGACTATATTGTCATGCTCCCTTATCCATTGAACAAAAGTAAGGCGGCTCTCAATGTCACTTTGCATAAGGTGCTGCATTACAGATATTCTATAAGGATTTAAGTGTAGGTCAAATCTTAAAATTCTGTGAACACTGGATCGGCTACATGACAAAGTGTTACTCACATCACTTAAAACTTTCCTCACAGATCTTTGCGGTGTTTCCTCTATAACTTGCTGCACCTGTTGAATACTCTCTGGAATCCTCACCGACTTTGGTCTACCTCCATTGTTCTGTCTGTTGTCTTGAATGGATCCCGTTTGCTCAAACTTTTTCACAATTTTTTAATATTTGTATATATGTGCATAAAACATTCAATCGTTATTATCGATGTCTAAACTCATCCCTTTGTACTCACAAATCGAAGTAAACTAAAGTTTATATGAATAACTATAGTAGCAATTGTCTTCTTTAGGTCATACAAAGTTGATATATAAATTTCCATTGCAATAAACTGAAAGGCTTCTTTAGATATCGCTTGGAAACGAAAGTGTTACAGACAGAACTACATACATGTATCTTAGTTAATTCGATACCCATGAGCTATCTTTTACATGCAAGTATTGGGAAACGAGTAGATGAAACAAGACGTTTTGATCCGTCTATACAATGACCTTGTCAGCAAATACACTCCATCACGAAGTTAAATGATAGCTGCTGGCGATTTTATGCCAGTTGTTAGGCCAGTATTTACAAACTGAATTGACTACTGATTTTCCGGATCATTAGAGGGAGCACAAAGCGGGTTTACCGTTCGCCTGGAAATGCCTACTCCTCCGTGGCACCTGATCCCATTTCTAATGTTTGCTCTGATCATTCATTGTATTGTTTGAATGGACTTCTGAATTTGATTACCGTTCTTTCCCCTCATATTTTATTAGTGCAAATATTTTAAACCTACAATTATGATATTTTGCATTAGCACACATACATTTGTAAGCTTCATTGGACAGGTATCTTAAAGGGCATTGTTCAGATCCATGGTATTTTAGACATTCGAATCCATCGTCGTACGTTTCAACAATTTGCTTCTTTTGGATGTTGTAGCTAGCACAGAATCCTAAAAGAAAAACAAATGTTTATATTTACATTTTTGGGGTGATTGCTATTTTGTGTGTAATTGTAAGTAAGTAGAAATATCAATTTAATCAAATTGTTTTGTAGCTTTATTGCTTTTGATTTTTCTTTATCTAATGCTATTTCTCTTTTGGTACAATGTTATGCAATTCTTTAATTTTTCATAGCTGAACCTTTTTTTTTTGTTGTTGTTGACAGCCAATCTAAAATTATGATCATTGTCATTTGATTTGATGCATTTGATTATCGACAAATCATCCTTTTGTTACTGAGGGCGCAAAATATTAGGCATACCCACCACCATGTAATCACCTATCTAAAACATCGATCTAATTGATTTTAGACCATGAATTAAAGGACGTATGAAGTAATATGACATGAAATTTATAGATTGTTAATCTAATATGAGGGAAAAATATTCAATACTGTTTAAAAAATATTTAATAAATATTTAACAAAAATAAAGTTTTAAAAAAAACATGGGACAATTAAACAAGATAGAGATTACCTTGTAGGAAGTAAACAGGTGCGCAAACTTCTAATGTTCCGTCCAGCTGTTGATTCAATAAACAATGATACTGAAAATCACTGTGTAACTCTGTGCAGTTTTGTTTGATTGCCTCGCACTGTTTTCTTATTGCTGCAGTTTCCCATTCTTGTTTGTTTTTCGGACAGGACGATACGGAAGATAATGTTGGTATTGATGAAGGGCAGCTAAAACTAGAACCCTCAACAAAAATCTGAAATGATAATTTATCAAAATATATTGTACAACAAAAAGACAATGTATGTCAGAACAACTCTGCCATGCAATTTGTTTTCCATAATTTTTCATGCTGTCACCAAAATATTTATATTTCCTACTTTTTATTAGCCCGGTATTAACTGCAGATGTAATAACTCCTATTCGAATTCTTTGAACATGTATTTAATGAAAATGATTATAATGTCTGTTTTGTTCATTGTAGCGAACCAAGGATTTTCTTTCCATGGACACAAAACTTGTGGAGCAAGACATTTTCATATACAGATGAACATGTGCGTATAGGATAAACGTTTCCTAAAAAATAAATGAAGGGATGCAAAAAGCTTTTGCAACCCAAAAAACGTTTGTTTCTTCTTTTTTTCTTTTCTAATATTCTTCTTCACGCATTCATAGATTTTCTTACTGTTGAGGAAGATTAAAAAAAAGCTTATGGAGCCTGAAAATTACCTGAAGGTTCAAAAACAAAACATAGTACAATATCATCCTTTTCTTTACTTCTTTCTCTGTTGTTTCTAAAAATAATACACATACACAAAATTAACTGAGAAAGACAAAGTTAGAAAGTATAGATATAAATTAAGTACAAATATATATAAAAGAAGTATTTGCAAATGTGTATTTATAAATAGCCAAGGAGCTAAAGTAACGTAATGTAAAATATATTTGATGAAGTGTAGGACTTTTTTTAAACAGTTTTCTATACTTTGATTACTTTTACAAGTATACGCCAGATTATCCAATGCTCAGACCAGGAAACAATAACAAAAATAGAATAGCTGAATAGCTCTTCTACATAATTGGGAATAATTCTTCCTCAAATAGTCAATCTACAATGGATTATAAATGTAGATGTGTCATCTTTTTTTCGGTATCTTTTACCGCTGTACATTCGTCAGCTGAAGGGTAAGTTACATTCGATAAAACTACTTCCTTCGAAATTAGGCAAAGTTATCTGATTGTTTAACACTGTTTTCTCTTTTATTTATGTCCATGTAAGATGCATTCTAGTACTAACACGCATTTTACTATGAACATGGTAGATTTGTTTTCAAACATTTCTTAAAATTTCATTGTCAAATAATTTTACCATTTACGTAAAAAGAAATGCAAATAACACGTGCACTTTTAAGGATGAATTTCTCGCTTGATATCTAATCTTTTTTACTACATTTAGTATTATCATGTTGTAAATTTTGAATTTACTAGAAGAGGTAAATGCAAAATTTACAACATGTTAATTTTGCATTTACCTCCCCCTAGTAAATTCAAAATTTACAACATGATAGTATCATGCTGACAGAAATATTTTCTCGTTTGCAAGAAATATATGCTCACCAGAACCATTTATTCTACACAGTTATGCGCAATTTAAGATTTCTTTTTTATGAGGGAAAATTCTAGAGACGTATAAAAATATATTAACAGTGTGTTGTGAATTCTTTCTCTGGAGAAATCATGTTTAAAGAAAAGATATATGTCATGAGAATGACAATTCCCCGAAGTTCCCAATAAACTGAACACATACATGTTCATCTAAATAAGTAACTAAAATTTCAATAATATAAACGTCAATTTAAATACAATTGTAATGTATACACGATTTTGGACCTATTTTGGAATTTACTAAGGCAGTACATGTTCCTGTGCTGCATTGCTGATTTACTGATGTACAGTAAGTAGAATTTTTATATTCATGTGGAGTAACTTTGTGTACTTTCCTTTTTCTCTAGATTCCAGAATGACATTAAAAACAACTCCTCCATTGACTACAAAGGTATTTTACTCGATCGTAAATTTAGATAATACATGTATGCTTTTTCTTTCAATTGTCAATGACAATTTTAAAATAATTGGTATTCAAAACTATAATTTTATAACTTTTAAGGCTATGCAGCGTATTCGGATTGTGAAAGTGGATATTTTGGAGTAAACTGCTCAAAAGTTTGCAGATACCCTAATTATGGAATCCAATGCCAATTAAAATGCAATTGTTCGAACATGACATGTCACCACATTACAGGATGTTATCAATCTACCTCAGGTATTTGAAATACTAGTAACTGAATGATGATTAAATATCTTTATTTTTAAAAATATAATTACAAAACACTCTATATGATTGCTTTTGTGGTTTTAACAGAAATAGATCTGAATATTACGACCTCGCACATGGATTCGGATTTTCCACCAGAATATTCTTTTTTGAAGCATCTTCACGCTCTCATCATTATTGGGGCAATCATAGTTCTTGTTCTATTGTTGCTATTTCCGCTTGTTGCCGTTGCCATAGTCCAGAAAAGCAGAAGACCTGAGCGGAAGACGGAACAAGAGTTAAACTTTGATTCGTTTGGTTCCTTTCGGTCGATGAAGAGCTACGACATGGGGGATACTACTTCCGAGAGGTATTGCGACAACATGGAATTAAACGGGAAGTCGGTGGAAAATTATGACCTTGAAATATACGAAAACACGTGCATACAGGGAAATATGCGTACATATAAGCTTTAGACCAATATGAACCAAATTAACTGAAAATATTTTCAAGAAGAAAGTGTTTTGCGTTGCCTTTATGATGTAAAACGCGTGACTGTCTCTTTTTAAAGGACTGAAAAGGGTTGAAAATGACAGAAACTGTTTGCTCTAAAGTATAATTTCCCTTTAAAAGTGTCGTTAATGAATGTCAATGTTAAAATTTAAATTTTGTACTATTTGAGAAAAACGCAATATCATGTGTTCATTCATAGATTTTGTAAATATAGGTATGTTACAGCTCATAGCAAATTTCATGCAATAAAAATTATCAACTAGAGGTACTGAGACCAATGAGCTCACTAAATGATACCTCGCCTCCCATATGAATGTAATGGCAGTGTCCATGTTTGCTATGTGAAACCCAAAATATGTGTCGGATCAAAAAGTAAAATAGGAGGTGCACAATGTCAATATGTAACAACGATTCTGGGAAAATTTCATCAAATTTCATTCAGTGGTATGAAAGGAGTCACGGATAAGAGATGGATACCCAAAAACGTACCAGACGGACGGACAGACATCCCGATTACTATATGCCCTTCCGCTATTCAAGGAGAAGGGGGTATAAGAAAATATTTAAAGATACAATTAATGTTTTCAGATGAGAAACAATATTGTCACAGGATGGAAGATATATTTTCACTCTTACTAGCTCAGTTTTGTTACATGTGATATATCTTTTGGAAGATCTCTTGCCCTCTCTATGTTAAACGGAAACGTGTAAAGAGGAGTAACTCGTGGTGTCCCATGTTATTCATAGGTAACAATATAATGGTAGTGTCAATGTCTTTCTATGGGAAACCCAAAATATGTGTCGGATCCAAAATCAAATAAGAGGTGCACAATGGCAATATGTAATACAGATTCTCTGAAAGTCTTATCAAATTGCATTCAGTGGTATAAGAGGAGTGGCGGATAAGAGATGGGTACCCCAAAGCGAAACAGACAAATGGACGGACCGACGGACGGACGTACAGCTAGACGGACAGACAGACCTCCGATTACTATATACCCTCCCGCTTTTTAAGCGGGTGGGGATGTATAAAAATACTAACAAGACTGTTTCAGATAAATATAACGAGGTTTTGTTCATTGACTCGTATAATTTCATATCCTTACAGAATAAGGACAAATGAAATGTGTGGAGAAAACGAACAGTATTCGAACTCAAAAACCGTTAACGATAGCTCAATCGGTAGAGCGCTTGCTCCGTGATCGGGAGGTCGTGAGTTCAAATCTCGGCCGCGACTGACCTAATTCTTTTTTTAAAAAATGGGTAGCAATTGTTCCTTCGCCATGCGCTCTTCAATTGAAGTGAAAATTGCGGGTCCTTCGGATGAGACTTTAAAAACCGAGGTCCCTAGTCATGGCAGGCGTTGGCACTATAATGATCCTTTACTGCTCAATGGCCCTGAATGCCGAGTAAAGGTCATAATTTGAAGCCTTTCGAATTCACTGATGAAACTCTTATGTACCAGTGATCTGGTTGTGATTGAATAAAGAATTGGTGTATGATGACGTCTCTACATGAGTGAAAAATTCTCGAATGAGACGTAAAACAACAGATATCAATCTCACTCAAAAGTCCATTTAATATTATCAAATAGGAGTGGAGCAAGCACGGGCATCAAAAACATCAGACGTGGGATCAGGTGTCATGGGGGAGTTTACATCCTGCCGACCTGTCCCACCCGCCGTGTGCTCCTTGTCATGTTCGGAAAAAAGAAAAATTCCGAAGACAACTCAGTGTATAAATGACCTAACAATCATAATGAAAAAATACAGTCAGCATTTTACTTAATGATGATGATAATTTGCTGACAATGTCATTGTATCGACCATATAACTTACGGAATGATGACCCTAACCGATACAAAATAAGCAATCTTAGGCAAAAATTAATTTGAAAGATTTTATCTCTCTGTTTTTGTAATAATGTAAAAAAAAAGAATGAGAAAATTGATAGAGAAAATTTGGACTTTAATATTTAAAAAAAGAATTTTTGGCTAAAATCTTAGGTTAAATTATTAAGTAAAACTATTTCAATTGTCGATTTATTTTATTATCTGAAATGTTCCGTTTATGTTCACTCTCGGTTTAGAATGATTGATCATAGCGTAAAAATAAAGCTTAGTTCCTGGTAAATATTTAGGGGCCACTAGCAGAAAAGTAGGTCGTTAAAATTTTTATGTGAAAGTGAATGATATTACTACAAGATAAAAGAGGTGGTTCTTCATTCGTCATAATCGAAATTATTCTGTAATCCGAGTTAAATTAATTCTTAAGAGCTGATAAATTCCAGGTTATGAATCTCTCATATGACACAACTCCATTGTATTATTACATTATACTTTTTCTCGGGTTAACGTTTATACCTATACCTTGTATATTTTTGATCTGTATTTGTAGGTTTTAAAACATCAAAACAGAATTATTTTACATATTATCAAAAGTATCAGGGTAATACCTTCATGACTTCCTGCATAATTAAAATATATATTTATGGATTATGAATATATTTAGTTATGATAATATACTAGCTACAGGATATTAGGACAAACTAAAATAACTTTTTATCTACTTATCAAATTTCGAAATAAAATAATACTTTCAATCTAAGATATAACAAAATATTATTTTTATGCTAGGTAATCAAATAATATAATTTATGAAGAAGGGTCAAAATGAATTAAAGATAGGTCTAAATAAAGTTTGGACAAAAACTGGAAAGAGATAGAAGGCATTGCTCAGGATATCTAGAGGGCCTGGAGGAATCTAGTCATCGGCCCAAAAGGGGTAGCAGGCATAAGTAAGTAATACTTGTTATTGTTAGTATAATTAGGGGGAAAGTTGCGCCTTTCTTTAAATCACTATTTCTTTCTTTAATTCATGGCATTTGTACCTATCTTCAAATCAGTTGTACCTATCATCCATTGTTTAAAGCTAGATATAATTGTATTAAACCTATCTTTAACTTATTTAACGATAGGTAATTTTGATTTGAAGATAGGTACAAATAATTAAAGATATGTTTTAAAATAGTTTTATATATACATGTATGTTAGTTTGAAGTTCCATATTTAAATTTCACTAGTGATTGCCTATGAAATGTTTTTATGAGTCTATAAATTCAAAAATACTTCTCATATTATTGTTCATAGGTTGGGGCAAGGGACACAACTTTTGATTCGAACAGCGAAGCACATTATATATTATAATTTATATAATTTATAATAGAAATGGTTTAAACTGTTTTCAACATAGGCTTTAACACAATTCTTAACAAAGGTTATTTTTTTTATGGATTTATTTGTATGCAGGCGTTGATAATCATAATATTTATAGCTCAAATAAGAAGAATCCTGATATGTACCTTATTTCGATTGGCGTTCTGTAAGGCATAAACTATTCTAAATTAGGGTGTAGGTTTTATACACGCGATCATTTTTATTTTAATGTTACAACGATGTTAAGAACAACTTTCCTTTCCTCAATATATGTTTGTTTAAAATAATTTACCTTTCTCTTAAATATATTGGTGAATCTTCTTATCGATCTGGAAAATTTCCTACTTTCGTTTTCTCAACTTTTCACAAAAAATTATTGATGCGTATTTAAATACCCGGGGTGTTTTAAAAATAGGTAACATACATATGAAGAAGTTGTTTTCGAATTCGCAATCATTGTATTTTTTGTATAAAACAAATGTTTCCTTTTATCTTTTTTTTTCTTATTTTGATAACAAAATATTAAAATCAAAATTTCTAGCAGGTTTTGGGCGGTCGAGAGTCATGCAGTAGTCAGAGCGCCTTGGATGCCTTTGTCCAACTATTGACATACTTGAAGTTTCCTCATGACCAGAGAGTATTCAAAGAGCACCATCAAATTTATTTTAACGTTGAGACTGCGTGGAAAGCACGGAAACATAGAATAGAGCTTTAGGAAAAGAAAAGATTTTGAAGTTTATGTCTTCTAATGCTTTAGACAGAGTCACAGCAACTCCATGATTTTCGCTCAAATCGATTACACTTCTCTATAGATAAATGAAGTTTTTTTTCAAAATGTTGTATAATTTGAAACCTAAGAAAGGAATCATAAAAAAGAGATACACTGATCATTAAAAGATTGAATTACAATAGGAATCAATGTCTGCTTTATTTATCAAATTACAAAACCAGTACATGTGCTCTCTTCACATACTTTTTATATTAAGTGTATTCATGTCAATTGACACCATACACATAAATGGAAAAATATCTAAAAACATACGTGAAACGAGAATACACAGAAAATCGGATTTTTAATGAGTTCAGAACAAAAGCTTCCTTGTAACATATAATTCTATACAGATTGTTAATCCTTTAATAATGCGCTATCGACCTTTTTATTCCCTTTTCTCGTCAAAGTAACTAAATCATAATTATTGGGTTTTAGAATTATATATACTCGATGAATAAATTTAATTTTCACCGGTAAGTTTGATTTAATATAATTACTCTATTATTATCTATGCATTCTGCAAATTATGAAGACGACCTTTAAAACTATAACTTTTGGAGGCTACATGTATCAATCCTCAGCAACGGTCCATTTATATTCTGAATATTTTACTTAAATATATCTAAATATGAAGCTTTGAATTGAAATTGTGTAGGTACTTCGAATTTTTTGAAACAGTCTTGTAAAAACTTTTGTATTGTTTGGTTTGAACATTGATTATTTAAACAGATATAAATATAAACAATAAAATGTCTTTCTTTGTTTGTTATAACTGGAATTAACGGTCGCAGCTATTGCAGAAAAAAATTACATAACAAGCTTACGCGGGTTATGTATTTTTTCTGCAACAGCTGCTTCCATTAATTCCAGTAATAACAAACAATGAAAGCATTTTATTGTTTAAGTAAGTATCTTTTTTTCAAATTTTGGATGCTTGGATGCCTATGATTTTGTATTCTCCAAATTGCTTATCAGTTTCCTTTTGGAAAATTCATATTCTTCATTGTTTATTCAAGTGTCCTTAAATATACATGAGATTTATTATTTACTCTTAATGTTTAATGATAAACTTTGAAGAACAAACACAGGTTGATACATACCGGTACTTATTACATTCGGTTTCAGTCTTTTAAACATTTGCAGTTAACTAGCTGCTGATGTTCAGACCCTGTCAGATGGACTTGATTAAAAGATATATGAAAAACCATTTTTATTGCTTGATATTTTACAAACCACGGACCCTCGTGTAGGTTCAAGACTGTATGCAGATATATTTCTAGATTCTAGTATAACGTTATTGTTTATGAAATATATATTTTGTGATCATCAAAACAGTTTTAAACTAGAGGTACTGTGAGCAATGAGCTCACTTAATGATACCCCCCGCCTCCCATAATGTCCATGTGTTGCTATATATTGTTTTACGGTAATGTGTAAAGAGGAATAACTCGTCCTATCAAATGTTATGCAGAAGCTTCTATAAGTGACGTCATAGGTAAACATATAATGGCAATGTCCATGTTTTGCTATGGGAAACCTAAAATACGTGTCGAATAAAAAAGTAAAATAGGAGGTGCACAATGGAAATATGTAATAAAGATTCTGTGAAAGGTTCATTAAATTTCACTCTGTAGTATAAGAGGAGTTGCGGATAAGAGATAAAGCGTAGCAGACGGACGGACGGAAATCCCGATTACTATATACCCTCCCACTTTTCAAGCGGGGGTTATAATAAAAGGATTAAATTTAGCAATCTATATTTGATACTGTATGGAATTGCCTTCCATCAAGACACACATGGTTTATTACCCTGTATCAATAATGATACAGCCAATTTTATTTTTTATAACCACTGACACCAATATTGAATGTGTCAAGGATAATCTCTCTGCCTCACACTTCATTCAATGTGTTTGTAAAGAAAGGTTATCATTTATATAATTTCACATTCGTGAATGCCAAATACTGTCGTGCATTAATTTTCTGAAGGAAGATCGATTCTTTCTGGCAATTAATTTTTTTTTGAAATACACTGTTAATTGTTTTCGATTTATTCAGACGACTAGGTCTACCTAATATTATGTTTTTGGACGGGAAATTCTGAGAAAGGTGTAGAAGAGTAGCTCGACTTCTTCACGTCTATGGAGTATTGCTAGACAATTACAATCATACAATACATGTAGATATATAATTCAATGTTTATCTAGATAACTTTTATAGTGCAGATTTTTTTTTTTTGGAAACACGTCAAGAAAAATGCAGAAAAATAAAAAGGACGTTGTCATCTGTTGTCTTTTTAAAGCTTACATTCATGCATATTTGTAAAAGCTGAGAAAAAAATTAGTAGAGTTATATACTCTTTTGAAAACTAGAACATCAAACTAGACCTATCTTTAGATATTTATTACTAATTAATTCATCTTCAAAGCTTATAAGATGAATCAGAATCAGAAAGTTTTAATTAAAGTCGTGTTCTAATTTTTACAAGTAAAAAAGCTCTCAATGTAGATTATGATGCCTGATCCAAAAATTTACCTGAATCCATTACAGTAAAACTCGTTTAGTACGAACACGGATATAGCGAATTCACGGATATAGCGAAGTTTTTCTGGGTCCCCGGCAAAATTCTTTACAAAGCTTTTAAAATTTTACGGTTATAACGAACTCTGATATAACGAATTTACGGATATAGCGAACTGATTTTGAGTCCCGTTGTGGTTAAATATAATGAAATTTACATCTTTTATAACGAACTTTCAAAGATTATAAAAAAAAATGATAAATTGAACTTACTTTATTTCCTTTTAGCATTTGTATATAAGATTCAATTCATAAGAAAACCTTAGTTATCGAAGATATTTCTTGTAATATTTGCTTCACTAACATAGTTGGTAGTAATATTTGAAAAAAAACATGCATAGAGCGAATTCGCTATAATGGTTATACGAATTCGTTATACGGATATAACGAATTACGGATATAGCGAATTAAATTCACAGGTCCCCAGGACTTCGCTATAACCGAGTTTTACTGTAATCTGCAAGGGAAATGCTGAACACTTAAGTAAGCAATGGCTTCATTATTCAAATCAAATGATTTATCACATTACTAATTCACTTCCATGACTCTATTTGTATGGAATAAATACACTTGACACTCAAATCAAATCAACTATATTCCAGATAATTGACATCATACACCTTAATGGAAAACAAAATATCTCAAAACATACACATATGTACGTTAAAGGGTAACATCGGATTTCTACCGTGTACAGCACAAAAGCTTCGTCTTGTCAATTAGCTTTTCCAAAGAACTTAAAGACAATTTGAAATCCCAAGATTTTACCAAAATCAACTGCTTAAAAACTTATGACTTTTCAACTTTATATACAACCATTCCCCACGATGAATTTAAGTCCAGGCTTTTTAATATCATATATCTCAGTTGATTCGTTACACAAGAGCATGCTCAACGTATGAACAATTTCTAAAACGAGGTAAATTATTGACAAGCAAGTTGATGAAACAAGAATATCAGCAGTCTCGTTTAAAGTCATCATTTCGTAAGTTCTGTGGTCGATACAATACCCTTGTCAGCAAATACAATTTCTCATTGAGTCAAATGCTGACGGAATTTTTTCATACCAATTGTTAGTCCATTATTTATACACTGAATTGACGACGGATTTTTCCGTTATTTCCTGATCATGACAAGGAGCACACGGCGGGTGTGACCGCTCAGCAGGGGATACTCACTCTACCAAGGCACCTGATCCCACCTCTGATGTTTCGGAGCTCCGTGTTTGCTCTGCTTCTAATTTGTATTGTTTTATGGACTTTGAGATTGAATATTGTTCGTTATCTCCACATCCTTCTGCAGATCTGTAGCGTTATATGGTCAAAGGCAAATATATAAAACCAAATAGCTACAGATCTGCAGCTACTTGTTAATATCCACCATTTGTAACTCTTAAATGTGCAGTTGACTTCGCCTCTTTTTCTCATAAAAATTACCCAAATGTATCTTCATTTCTGTTCCTTAAAATTTCTACGGAATAATAATAAACGTTAATGGTAAACTATAACAGGCAAACTTCATGATAAACGTGATAACAATAACTTTTCAATTGCCAGCTTCCCTTACTCAAGCAGCAATACACACTCATCACCTGAATACGGGATATACATGTACAGTATATCTCTTAGTTGATTCAATACGACAGAGCAAAGAACAAATTCGAGATGAGTTATTGACAAACAAGTTGATAAAAGAAGAATTATCAGAAAACTCCTTTAAAGTCATCATTTTGTTAATTCTATGGTTGATACAATGACCTTGTCAGCAAATACAATTTATCATTATGTCAATTGATGACTGACGTTTTTCATACTAGTTGTTTATCATTATTTAAGCACTGAATTGTCGCCGGATTTTTCTGTTATTTCCCGATCATGACAAGGAGCACACGGCGGATGTGGGCGGTCGGTAGGGAAATCTCACTCCTCAATGACACCTGATCCCACCTCGGATATTCTGGTGGTTCGTGATTACTCTGCTTCAAGTTGGTTCTGTTTAAAGGACTTTTGAGCTTGGAATAC